GATCTTTCAATTCAGGTTTGAACCAGTATTAGGAGATGGATTTCCTCTCTGCCATGGGGAACTTATATTTGGCTGCCACCTGGATGGCTTCAGTGATACAATGGAAGTACTCATCAGTGTCAATGGAGGTGGTGTTGGTATTCCTTTTAGCCCTTCTGATTTGAAAACCCAGCATACCTCGTTGTTAGCTTTTGGTCTCTCACTTCATTTCAAGGAAAGTTTGAACTTGGGGACCACCAGGTTGTGATCTGAGTCAGCATCGACGCCTGGATACGCTCGGGTGTTTTTGATTGCGTATCGAAATCGTGGGCTGACTGCATGGTGGCCAATCTCATTACCACATGTTAGTAAGAACTAGCTCATGTTTCTTGAACCAGTCGTACTTTCCATCTTTCTCTGCTCCTACGTTGGCAATGAAATAGCCCATAACGATTTTGATCTCGTTCAATTTACACGACGTGAGGAGCTCATTGAGAAACTGGTAGATGTAGATTTCTTGATTATCTGCCTCTCATGCAGGAGCATACACGATGATGTTGATATTGAAGTGACTTTATTTTAACTAGAAGCATTCTTATATTTTATGGTCAGCATGAAATTACCAAAATGGCATAACGTTTGTCAGGTATCAATGCAACACCATGTTGACGTCTATCTCCTCCAGAGAAGAGGATGCATTTTGTTCCTTGCTAGAGATCACGTGCCTTTGGGCACCTGGATTTGCAGAGGCAAAGGCAGTTTATGTTTATCCAGCTTGTCTGCTTGATATAATATACGACCTATCCACGTACCAATATTAGGCAGTTTGGATCTGAGGTTTTTAGAAGATCTGATGTTATTGAAGTTGACCATAATACACTGCTTTCTGACACCATAGTTTACGAGGCCATAATTCTGGGGTAGAGCGGCTCGGAATTTTTTCCCCAGTGGATTGTAGAAGAGAAAGGAGGCTGATTGTATCGTCAGCCACTCGGTCATTATTATACAATCTATGGAAGCGGGGACAGGAAGGTTTGCAGCTAGCAGTTATGAGACAGACACTGTATCTTATATGACTAAGCAATTAATCTATATGCATGCACTTCAGTCACGTATTCATAATTATAATTATTATAACGTTATAATAATGAGTATAACCCTCATTATATATATATATATATATATATATATATATATATATATATATATATATATATATATATATATATATATATATAAATATCACTAACATTTATGAAATAACCCAATACGAAAAGTTTGTTTACACTCAACTTCAATAAGCATGTCAAAGAGCAAATAGGCAACACGTAGATTCCTTGTCTTAACAGAATATACGTCATTGGTCCCGCTGATTCAAGGAATAGTTGTTTCTAGCGACATTCTTATCTAATTGTGGACAGTTTTTGTTTGAAAAATGTTGGCAACTTGTGAATGAGATGAAAGAACGCACGTTTTGTTAGCAATATTTTTTGTTTTGTTTTACTCTGTTTCCATATTTTGTTTAATCTTCTTCTAAGTAGATTAAGTAGATTTGCTTGAAGTGGATAGTTAGATGGTTTTATTTCTCTTTCCATACTGGTCCCTTTCTGTATTACTTTTAATACTTACAAGCGTTTTCATAATTACGTGAAACAACAATAACAGCAAATCATTAATATATAAAAACTCTCTGTTTATCTCTGTCTAGTGTCTGTCATCTCTCTCTCTCTCTCTCTCTCTCTCTCTCTCTCTCTCTCTCTCTCTCTCTCTCTCTCTCTCTCTCTCTCTCTCTCTCTCTCTCTTTCATTGATATTCATAATGATAACTCAAATTTAAGAGTTCCCCTACCCCCCATCCCCCGGCCTCTACCAGATATCACATTCAGACCAGAGGACCATCATTAATCCATTATTGTTTTCCAATAAACAACGATAATGTTTGAATTCTCATTTACCAAGGACCTAAACCTACTTCCCCCTTCTTGGTAGGGATAAAACAAGACAAAACAGAAAAACAGTATGACAGCAAAAGAAATATTATAGCCTCCCCCCTCCCTAAAAAAAAAAAAAAAAAAAAAAAAAAAAAAAAAAAAAAAAAAAAAAAAAAAAAAAATATATATATATATATATATATATATATATATATATATATATATATATATATATATATATATATATATATGTATATGTATGTATGTATATATAACATCGCATTCACTCGCATCATAATTCCAGTTGTATTATTCAGTGGAAAATGGTTTGTGATTCTTATGTGTATCTATCTATCCGCCTACTTACCTGTCTTCCTGTCTAGCTATTTATCTAACTATCTATTTATCTACCTATCCTCATCTATCTATATACCTGTCTGTTTGTCTGCCTCTCTCTCTCTCTCTCTCTCTCTCTCTCTCTCTCTCTCTCTCTCTCTCTCTCTCTCTCTCTCTCTCTCTCTCTCTTTCTTTCTTTCTCTCCCCTTCCCCCTTTCATTTTTTCTTTCTCTCTCTCTCTCTCTCTCTCTCTCT